TTTGCTTTCTATGAAAACAAGGAGCCTGTGCGGCTGCCCTGGCAGTAGCTCCAGTTTTCCGGAATCAGTTTGAGATTTCATCCAAGTAAAGTGGAGGTAAAGCGCTGGGATTTGGCCACTTCACTAAAAAATACAGATCTGCCTTTTTAGTGATTGAGAAAACTCAATGAAGCCAACAAGCCAACTGGATGACGTTGCTACGAACAAGGCCAGGCAAACTTCACTGACAAAAAGTCATTGCAGATTAATGAAGTCAGCGCTCGCTGGAAAGCACACATATCAAAAGGATCTGGCAGTAACCAAAATCCATCCAGCATGCTATTCAGCTATTCACTGTGAAATCATGATGCATGTTCACATTGGAGGTGAGGAGATTAAGGGGGGATATGATTTCCATATACAAGATGTTCAATGGTGGCAGCAACATTAGGGACAAACTATTTAAAATGAACTCCATTACAAAAACTAGAGGCCACCACCTAAAATTGGTGGAAAATAAATTCCAGCACAAGGGGCGAAGAGGCTTCTCCACAGTTAGAGCGGTTAGGGTCTGGAACTCACTGCCGCAGACAGTGATTTCAGCAAATAATGTGGAATTGTTCAAGAAACTTTTGGAGGATTTCCGGAGGGACCGTAATATACAGGGGTACAAGTAATATACAGGGGTACAGGTACTCCTAAGAATGAGATCCTATAGGTTGGACTTGATGAACTAATGTCTTTATTCAACCTCAAATACTATGTAACTATATGCCAATCGCATTAAAATAATAAAACGTTGAACTAGACTGAGTCTGCGGGGTCCATGACAGATCAGCAGTTATTAAAAGGGCATTTAAGAAAAACACGTTGCAATTCCCGACAACAACTTATACGATTTATTGTCTTATTCTTCAGGTAAGGCTCCCATCCACCTCCAATCAATGGAAGTACGGTATATTATCAAAAAGTCCTGCATGCAGCTCCAAGTTACAATGCTTTATTATAAATAATTCCACACACAGTTCACATAATGCAGGTCGCCTATGTGTTTCAGATGCAAACTGACTTAATTATAGCCTGTCCGAGGCTGCAACGTGTAAGCAATTTGTATTATGTGAGCTGTATGTGGAATCATTTCTAACAAATCATTGGAACATCGAGCTGTGTGCAGGACCTTTTGCTAATAATTTTCCAGTGCAGGTTTCAATCTGATTGGCTGATGTGAATTAAAGCACTAAGACATCTGCAGCTTTCCTATTCCTCCCCATAGACTCCACAAATACTCACCTATCTCCTGGAGCAAAGTCCCAGAGAGTCCATTTGGGCACTTTCTTCACAACCACACCTCTGTGCCATAGTGGTTCTGTGTGAGGCAGAGGCATTGATTGGCTGAACAAGAGGTGGCAACCAATCAGAGCCTCCTACTTGTAATGAAGAATCAGAAGTGAAGACAGCGGTCAGTTGGGCTGGGAGGGACCAAGCTCTAAATGACAGGTATAGGTATATATTTGTTATATACGGTCTAGCTTTTAGTATGCAGCACCATGCACGAGCTGTGGCCCTTATGTCATTTTCTGACTTTATAGCCCTGCTATAAACAAAAATTTAAGTCTATAAAAATAAACTTAAAGATAAAAAATAGAATGTTATTTGCTTAAAGCTGAACTTTGGCCATAAAAAACTGAGCTCTGAGAGGGAGCCAGCAGGTCCTACCCACTACATGCTGCCTGCAGAAAACTACAGAAGGGGGCAGAGACAAGACCACTCACCCTGCACAAGAAGAGGGAGCAGCAGTGCCTGGTCTTTATTAAAGGAGGGGGCAGAGACAAGACCAGTCACCCTGCACAAGAAGATGGAGCAGCAGTGCCTGGTCTTTATTACAGCAGAGAGCGGAGACAAGACCAGTTACCTACGAAAAAGCTAATCACACTCCAATTCGATGTCCATTCAACTTGTTTATTCGCTGAAGTGGTATAACATCTTAATGCAACGTTTCAGAACCCAGCGGTTCTTTCATCAGGCAAATAAAACAACTGTTTTATTTGCCTGATGAAGGAACCGCTGGGTTCTGTAACGTTGCAAACAACTGTTTTATTTGCCTGATGAAGGAACCGCTGGGTTCTGTAACGTTGCATTAAGATGTTGTAGCACTTCAGCGAATAAATGAGTTGAATGGACATCGAATTGGAGTGCAACTAGCTTTTTCGTTGGTTGTATATTGTCTGCAGAGGCATCTGCTGCTACTCCGGCACCCGTCCTGTATATTGGGCTATCTACCGTCAGGAGTGCGATGGGATCGATTGGATTTTGAAGACCAGTTACCTGGCGCAAGAAGAGGGAGCATCAGTGATTGGTCTTTATTACAGGAGGGGGCAGAGACAAGACCAGTTATCTGGCACAAGAGGGAGCAGCAGTGACTGGTCTTTATTACATTACATTCACACTGGATTACTGCACAGATCCGGAATAAATACACAAAGCTCGCCAAGTAAGAATACACAAGGCTCTTGTATTTAGACAACAGTTCAGCCTTCATGTAAAAATCATCATTGTGTGTTAGTGTTCTGAAAACCTGGTTTCCCTTTATAGTTTGCACTTATTTATGTCTATAGGGGCTGCCGTGTCTGCTCATGCAAGCTCTGCTTCCTACTTAGTAGTGCTGCACAGTGACGGTGTCTTTCTGTTCATCTCGCACTGCACATTTATCAGCCTGGGGTCTGGTTGAAAGTAATACACTTGTATATCTCAGATAATTTATCTCTGCGGGTGCTGATCGGGGAACATAAGTGACTGAAGTGCAATACAGACAGCCACTATTAGGAGAATTAATAGTGTACTGCAAGCATGTAAAAATAGGAAAGTCACGTTGTTATGACTTATAGTAAACACGTCAAGACAGGAATGGCTGCCAAATCAGCTGCTGAAGAGCTCTATGTATTCTCACACACTGGACAAAACAATATCAAATTCCAAGGCATTACAGTCCTGTTACATGTTCTCCCTTAGTAAGCCCTGACGAAGGGGGTATTTGTAGGTGTAGCCAAATCAGATGCTGAACAGATGAAGAACTGTACAAATTTCAATTCATCACAGTTGTGATACATATTCTCCTTCAGTAAGGACTGATGAGCCCTTTAAACATGTTGGCTATCTAAATACTGTCCCCTCAACCCTACATTGAATAAAGATGTATCTGGACTATTAAATGGAGTGTGGCACTTCACTTTTCTGCAATCTGACAGTATAAACCAAAGCGACAGTGGAGATCCCCGGAATGTAGAAGCTTCCTGCCCGGTAGCCAGATCTTTCACATATTGACTCTTTCACCCACCCACACCAAAAGGACCTTGCAGGGCCAATGATCTTATTCTACTTCTTTCCAGGACATGAATAAGGGAGCTTCCATCATTTTTAAAGGTTCAGATCCTAGGCCTGTCATCGCACTTGGCGAGTGAAGGGTCAAGTCACCTGCTATACACATGTTTGAGTCAATGACTCACCATTAATAAAGGAGTGTTGCGATGACAACACTAGAGTCTGCACAAACAGGTCAGCAATGGCAACCCCCCCACACACACATTTTTTTTTGTCCTTTCTGATAATAGCTTGCTACATGCTCACTTAAAACACAACGTAGTTTCCCCTTTTAACACTAAGAGGTCTATTTATGTTTCACACAAGATTCACTCAACTTTCATAAACTGTTGAAGGTGCCTGCTGCACGCCATACAATGTTGTGTAACCAATGTAATCAAGATAGGTGCTCGAAGTGACCACCACGGAACCCTGGAGAGCTGAAGATAGGTCACCGGCACTCCAAAATGCAAAGATAGTATCATTTATGGCAAACCAGGTCACATATACTATCTATACATGTTGAGCGCTGATGACCTTTCTTCACATCACACAACTTTCACACATTTACCTAATTATATTCCAATTAGAAATTACATGAATCCTGAGTGAAAGTTGTGTGAATCTAAACAGACGCCTAATAGTTGTACATACAGTGTCAAATCAGCTCTAGTACAGAGGTTGGTCTACATATCATTGTCCTTTGTAATCTGACTGCATCAAAGGCTTCTGCTGCAGTTGGATTTCAAAGTGCACTATACCACTCAAGGGACCATTCTAAAGTCTTGCATGCAATATATACTACATCTGCACCATTTTCTCCCAACATACGAAACTTAGGAGCTCTATAGTGTGCTCTACAGGATAGGGGCACCCCTTGATCCGTGTCATGACAAGCCAAAGCATTTAGTATTGCAAATGCATTTCACATAAAGTCCATGCACAGTAAAGTCAATAATACAGCACAATATTAACCGTTAGTGTTTTGGTTTTTTTTTTGCAGGCCTGAAA